GCCTGCGAGCACAGGCTCTTCCATGTGCACGGAGCCAGGGCTCTGTGCACGCGTATGCCTGGGAAGATATTTTTTTAAAATATGAAACTTGATCCTTGCACTGAATTTGAAAGCATTTACCCTCAGACTGGTTGAAGCTAACAAGTTGAATTCCTGGAAAGCAAGAGGGTTTTGGCTCAACATCCCATCAATCCTTTCAAGATTTTCACCCCTTCTACAAGTTAAAAGCATTTGAATTATATATATTTTACATATATATATAAAATATATATAAAGATATATTTCATATATAAAATATATATGTATGTGTACATACATAAAGAAATTTCTATAATTTTTATATATAGTACATATATACACACAGTAATTCTACGTATAATATATACTGTTATGTTACATATATTTTATAGTTACAAAATAAAATAAGCCAATTAATCAAAGTTCCCACCCTCCATTTACCAGCATAAATTAATTCCTTCAAGCAAGAGTGGTTCAAGTCAACTCGATTTCCAATGGAAATGGAACCTTTAATCAAAATTACAATTATCCAAGAAATACCTGAGTCATTCACGCTGCTGTTCCTCTTGGCATAGGCACTGCGGACCACCTGCTCGTACACCTGAGCTCCTATTGTTCGCATGTTTTCCCGAATCATGATGCCTTGGGCTTGCATCATGAAGAGGTAGGTGTTCACTGCAAGGGAGAGAGAGGGGAAAAAAAAAAAAATATTTCCATGAGCACCAGCTTTTGTAGGAAAGAGAAACAGGATTCTTTTGGAACCATTCCCAGTTTTCTGCTTGGTTTCAGTTCCCTCCTGCCAGACGCATCCCCGGGTCACACGTGCCTCAGTTGCCCGAAGGGAGCTGGGAAGGGCACGGAGCCGGGAAACAGAGGCGTAAGGTGCGTTCGGAAACCCAGTCAGTTAATAAGGGCAGCATCCCCAGCTACACCTGACAATGCAGACTGCAATTCGGCACCGGAGCTTAAACAACAGCACCTTTTGCTGTGCAAGTAGGAAGGTCTGATTAGGAAATATCATTATAACAGGAAACTAAGCCACACGCCTGGAGAAGGGTGCTCGTTCCTGGACTGCAGCACCAAGTGCCTTGATGGGCACCACACAGACTGTCTCACTGCCAGTCTGAGCCCACCAGCAATCCATACGTCCCAGGCAGGCAGCGTCTGGCAGCACAAGCTGCCTGGGTGCCCAGGGCCAGCCCCTCCAGCCACATTTCTTCCCCCCTCCTTTCCCGCTGACCCCGTGCCCTGGCACCGCTCAGGCTCAGCCTGCTTAGGTTTCAGTTTAAGCCGATACCAGGTGCTGGCAGGGACGGGCCCCAAAGCAAACAGAACCA